TCAATATTTATACAGGACCATTCCATTAAAAACAGGGGACTTGTCTAATAGTAAGACAATGATAGAGATTTCCATTTGGATTTCAAGTTATTGTATTCTATGACAAAAATAAAAATGTAATTAAAACTTTTTGTCCAAATATAATGCATAAAAATTTAACAAAGAAAGAATACAATTAAAAAAGTTAATTTAAAAGTGTCATTTTTCGTTCATTTTTAAATACAAAATTATTCACCAAAATTCTGATGTCAATTTCTTCTAAAATTTTATTTTCAATTACAATTAAGACCAATATATGAATTCAAAAACATAATAATAATTATCAAATATACAAAATAATAGATTATATCAATAATAGATTATATCTAAAATATTATTTTAAAAAAATTAGAGGCCATGTGCAGTCACCCTTGTCAGACATGGCCAAGGCCGACCGGCCCTGTATTTATATATTTCCTTGTAGTGGTATACATATAACTATATATGTGCATATCTACTATACTAATAAGAGCCCAAGAGAGTTAGGCCTATAATGGGTAGAAAAAATGGCGGTCACAGATTTTAATCAAATGAATGGTTCAGATTGATTAAAAGATTGATCAGATTTGAATTTTACACTAAAATTTCCTAAAATACCCACACACCGTTACTAATTCCGTTAAAATTTTAAGAATTGCCGTTAGTTCACCGTTAACTTACTCATTGATTTCAATAAAAAAAGGTCTTAGGTTCGAACCTCATCCCAATTAAAGTTGGCATAATTAGTACTCTATTTTACTCTTATTAAATTATATAAATAATAATTTTGTAGTTACAACAAAAAATAATACATATGTATTTCTTTAATTTAGAATTATGTGTCCACAATGTCTTTATTCAAAAAAAAAATTTATTCATTATCAATAAATTAAATAAGATAAATAATTTTATTAATTATACTGTCTTTATTTTTTTTCAATATAAAAATTCTTTATATTCAAATTTATTAATTGATTATATTCGCTACATTGTCCTTACAATGTCTTTATTCCGTGAAAAACAAATTATTAATTATCAATAAATTAATTAAAAGAAATATTTTCATTAGTTATATTGCCTTTATTTTTCTCAAATGTAAAAATTTTTACATTCAAATTCATCAATTGATTATATTCACTACATTATCTATTATCTTTTTTGTGCACTATTTTTCTAATTAAATATCAAAGTTATAACATAAAATAATGCTATGTATTTATTTACCAAGTATTTTTTTAATACCATGAAAAAAATTTAAAAAAAATATAATTAATAAAGCCAACCATATTAACTACTTAAGAGATTTTGTGACAAATAGAGTATTCAAATCACACAACAAATTGAAGTGAGAATTGCCGTTAGTTCACCGTTAACTTACTCATTGATTTCAATAAAAAAATGTCTTAGGTTCAAACCTCATCCCAATTAAAGTTGGCATAATTAGTACTTTATTTTACTCTTAGGGGTCGTTTGGTTCACGGAATGTCAGATTATCTTAGGGAATGTTAGATTGCTGGGAATGTTAGATTACTGGGAATGTTAGATTCCTGTGTTTGGTTAAAATTGGGGTATGTAATATAATCCTGTTTGGTTTAGGGTTATTTTTTATACACACTATAATATCCTTAACATATTTTAATATATTTTAATATATTTAAAAATTAAAATAAATAAATAAGATAACGGTATCATATATAATTACATGATTTTAAAATATTAACTAAAATCTTGAACTTGAGAAACAAAATTATTTTATATGCTAACATAACATAATAAAAATAAAAATATATATAATTACAAATATATATATATATATATATATATATATATATATATATATATATATATATATAATAAACTAACATAACCAAGGTTATCTTACATTACCTAAGATTTTGAAGGGAATCACATTCCCTTCAAAATCCTATGTGGAGGGAATGTGACATTCCTTGGGAATGTTAGATTCCCTAAGATAATATGAACCAAACACCGGAATGTGAACTTTGGAATGTCACATTCCCTTGGTTATGTTATATAACCTGAACCAAACGCCCCCTTAGGGTCTGTTTGGAAACCCGGAAAATGATTTCTCCGGATTTCTGGTGTTTGGCTAGGTTGGAAAATGAGTGGTCAATGGAAAATGAGACCAATTTTTTGGAAAATGACTTCCCTTTTTTTTTTTTATTTTTAGGGGAAGTCATTTTCCATCCTTCGGTTTATCACTGCTGGAGCTGAAGGTTCATCGCCACAACATCAACGACCGTCGCCGGATACTACATCAACACCAAAGACCATCACCGGCGACCATCACCACTGTTGGAGGTTCATCCCGCCGCCGCCGATCTACTTGTCACCACCGTCGATCTACCCGTCGCCGCCGTCGATCTGCCCGTCGCCGCCGTCGATCTGCATGTCGCTGCTGAGGAAGACTGAGGAAGAAACCCCAGGTACGCCGTTGCTCTGCCCAGCCACCGCGTCCGGTCACCGCCACTGCTCTGCTCTGCCATTGCTTCCAGTCACCGCCTACCACCATCACTATTGGTTGAGAAAAAAGAAAGAGGTAGACGGAGGTTCAAGGGCCGAATCTGTTGTCCACCGCCGTCTGCTGTCCACCGCCACTGTCAAGGGTTGTTGCTTCAATTTCAATTTCATCATTTCTATTGTTGTTGTCCACCACCGTCGTCTGCTGTCCACCACCAATTTCACCATTTCTATTTTCAATTTCAATTTCACCATTTCGATTGTTGTTGTGATTGCTGTCCACCACCGCCGTTTGCTGTGTCCAATACCAATTTCACCATTTCTATTTTCAATTTCAATTTCACCATTTCTATTGTTGTTGTTGTCCACCACCATCATCTGCTATATTTGTCTAAATACTAATTTCACAATTTCTAATTTTGTGCTTTGTTTATGTATAATGTTATGTTAAAAAATAATAATTTGTGATTTTTGTTTTTGGATTTTGTCATTTTCCTACTCATTTTCTAGAAAATGAACCAAACATACAAACACAATTTTTCGTTGTGTAGCCAAACACCGGAAATGAACATGTTTTCTGGAAAATGACTCATTTTCCAGAAGCCATTTTCCTGCTTTCCAAACGGACCCTTATATTAAATTATAGAAATAATAATTTAGTACTTACAACAAAAAATAATACATATGTATTTCTTTAATTTAGAATTATGTGTCCACAATGTCTTTATTCAAAAAAAAATTATTCATTATCAATAAATTAAATAAGATAAATAATTTTATTAGTTATATTGTCTTTATTTTTCTTCAATATAAAAATTCTTTATATTCAAATTTATTAATTGATTATATTCTCTACATTGTCCTTACAATGTCTTTATTCCGTGAAAATCAAATTATTAATTATCAATAAATTAATTAAAAAAAATATTTTCATTAGTTATATTGTCTTTATTTTTCTCAAATGTAAAAATTTTTACATTCAAATTCATCAATTGATTATATTCACTACATTATCTATTATCTTTTTTGTGCACTATTTTTCTAATTAAATATCAAAGTTATAACATAAAATAATGCTATGTATTTATTTACCAAGTATTTTATTAATACCATGAAAAAATTAAAAAATTATAATTAATAAAGTCAACCATATTAACTACTTGAGAGATTTTGTGACAAAGAGAGTATTCAAATCACACAACAAATCGAAGTGAGAACTACCTCGCAATGTCCTTGTTTGACAATCAGCAGTTAGCGGTTAGCGTTAGCGGATTATACTAGCGGATTTGACCAGCGAATTTATTTAATTATTAACATTGGGTAGAAAAAATGACCGCTAAATTATTAAATCAAATGAATGGTTCATATTGTTCAGGTTTTAATTTTTTTCTTTTAAGATTTTCTAATTTATCCTTAATTATATGATTATCCATTTAAGTTTTCCGTTAATTCACCGTTAGTCTAATTATAATATTAAAGTCTAATATAGAATTATAACTACACCATTAATCTAATTCTAATATTAAAGTCTTAATAGAACTTAACCACAAATCCTAATGTCGGAATCTCCTCAAACAATATTAGTATATATTTAATATTTTATGCCCTAATTTTTATTTGTTCTCCCTTATGTCCCTATTTGGTTTCAACAATACCTATACAATTATTTTATTGACAATTATAATCAATATTGACTATATTATCTTGCATTTGTAAACTTAGAATTACCTATTTAACCCGCACGGGTTTAGCTCAATGGTTTAGTGGGTAGTATTTGGGAGAAGAGACCAAGGTTTGAACCTCGGCAGTGGCAATGCGGGAATTATGTCCAAAGTTGTCCAAAGTTGGCAGATTCCTTGTGCGTATCAGCATTTGGCCCTGTCTGCTGAACCATTGAGTCACCGTGATTTACAACTTCCCACAATGCTCTGTCGGGTCGGAGTGTGGGGGGGACCTTGGGGTTGGGGACTCAACCTTTGGGAGAAGAATTACCTATTTAAATACGCAAATTCAACCTTCAATTATCTATGCATGAACAATTTCAATATAATCTTGCCTTAATATATTTTAAAGTACTTATTTAAAAAAAAAAGCATTGGGCATTATCCCAATCGCGCAATGCGCGTAAAAAACTAGTATTCATTATAAATTTCATAAACTATGGCCAAGAAAGACTGCACTTTGATAAGTTGATTTAGTGAATTACAGTCAAACAATCAAGAAACTACACAAAGCCATAGCAAAAAGAAATGAACACAAAGTTAATTCATAGATGGTGAACTATATATATACGCCAGAATTAAAACTGATACTTTTACATTGGGTTTCTGGTCTACCATATTACTAATTACAAGAAAATTCATAATATATAAACCTAGTATAATGCTGTACAAATATTGTATTAAAGCATTAATCCATTTTAAGGTAACTATTTTCTAAACGTATAACTGTAGAAGTATCTTGTTGTTGACTTGCATTCAAAACTTGACACTAACAGTTACTGATATGTTTATTGGGTCGTGGAACAAAAGAAAATAAAAGAATTGTAATACTAGCTAGGAAGGAGCAGAAATTTGTCACAATAAGATGTCCATGAATTTGATCCAAGGCAAGCCAATTTTTGTAACACGATCAACTTCCGATGAGCAGCCCGGAGCTGCGCCGCATGACGGCGTTGCGCCGCCACCTTCTGTGCCGGCAGGGGAAGTTTTCATGCAGAGGAAGAAGTTTCTTGATCCGAGCGTCATCACACTGTCTGCCCTGTCCAAACCTGGACCATAAATCAAGAATTTGGTATTATTAGCCAATCAAATTTTTAGGTATTACTTTAAGAATAATGTTAATTGTTCTTACAAAAATTATTCTATTTTTGTCACAAAAAATGAAATTTCCTCATTAAGAGTCAAGATAGGAGAGGGATAAATCATGCTATTTTTACCATATCATTTTTTTCACTACTTATTTGGATATAAGTTTCTTTTGATAAAGAATGTGTAATAGTGAAAGGGACAAATTTTTATATTTATAAAAGGTTTTTAACCTGACGTCAAAAAATATGTACTTATATAAATTTGATAGGTTTCCGTCACCCAAAAGTATTTTAATAAGAATAGGAATTTGACGGTTGAGATTGAGAAGGGTTACCTTCTAAACTAAACTGCGAGTAATGGAGTCCGAAATCTGCGGGATCAGTGGAGGGCAGCGCCGACCGCCGTCCTTCCTTTACGTACTGACGGAGAGCGGCGGCGATGAGGTCCTCCACCGTTGATTCCGACGACATCAACACCTGCACGGCCCCAAGGCATCTCTGTATCGTCACGTTGAGCAGTAACTTGGTGAGCTTCGACGGAAACCTCATTTGCGTGGAGGCGGTGGAACTTCGATGGCCGGAGATCAAGTCCGGAACCGTCCGCGGCCTCCCCAGCAACTCCGCCGTGTTCTCCACGCCGTGGCCGTGAAACGACTTCGCCTTTTCAACTAACCTTCCCTTCCTATTCTTCTCCTCCGATCCCCCTCTCCGGTGAGTCTTCGGACTCGGCATCGTCGGAAACCAATATATATATATAGATATATATACAAATTAAAAACGCACTAACCAAGCGGTCACTTGAGAGGCGGCGATGACGGAAGAAGCGGAGGCGAAGGAATCCGATAGACGGCGCCGAGAGGAGGGTTTCAGTTTTCCGGTGAACGGCTGAGATCATAACCAGAATGGGAACAGTAATTAAGCAGAGAAGCGGAGGAGGAGGAGGTTTAGAGTATTTTGGAGCATAGTTAAAAATAAAAGAAATAAACAAGGAGTTACGTATAAATAGACTCCCAATTTCCCAAGGAATTAGGTCATTAGTTTAAAATACGGAGTAAAATTATAAGCAAAGCCGTCTTTGAAGTTTGGTCCTCTGATCCTCTCATTTTTTATTTTCTTATCTGGGCCTACAAATTTTAAATAATAGTGATTGAGACTACCTTATACGTTATACACTTATACCTAGTTAATAATAACTATGATTAAAATTGTGTTGGGACTACAATAAACTTATTTAATCCAAAATTCTGTAGAAAATTAAATAGCATTAAATGACATGTGAGTGGTCATTTTGAGACATTTTTTTTATCATGTTTGGCAGAGCTTATTTTAAAGCTTATAACTTATTTTAAACTACAAATAAGTTAGGAATAAAGGGTCAAATAGGTCATTTAACTGCACACTAAAAATGCAATTAGGCCATCGAACTAAAAAATAATGCAATTGGGTCTCTGAACAACACAAAATCATGCAATCAAACCCAAAATAACCTGCTTACCTGAAAATATGCTGACGTGGCAGTTACCAATTTTAAAACTAATATTTTAAAATAATTTTAAATAAAATAATTAATTAAAATTATTAAAAAAAACTAAAACATTATTGGCCCGCTTCATCTCCATGGCCAGGAGACGAAGGTCTCTCTTGCCATGGACACGAAGGTCTCTTCATCTCCTCCATGGCCAGTGGTCTTCGGCCATAGAGGCTAAGCCGGTCAGAGACGATTTGTTTCCGGCTAGTAATGTTTTAGTTTTTTTTTTTTTTTAATTAATTATTTTATTTAAAATTATTTTAAAATAATATTTTTAAAATTGGTAATTGCCACGTCAGCATACTTTCGAGTAAACAGGTCATTTTGGGTCTAATTGCATGATTTTGTGTTGTTCAGGAACTCAATTGCATTGTTTTTTAGTTCGATGGTCTAATTGCATTTTGGTGTGCAGTCCAGTGACCTATTTGACCCTTATTCCAATAAGTTATATCTCTGTTTTGTAAAACCTAGAAAGCTTAAAATAATAGTTTATTTTGAATGAACGTTTCAAAATAAACTACAAGCTTTTAACATTTTTTTTTCATTTTTATCTTTATTAGTTTACAAAAATGACACCTTTATTTATCCTTCTTTTATCAAAACCCTAATATCTACATTTTTTTTTTTCCAGAAAGTCTTCTCCTCCCAATTCTTTACCATACATGTTCGTCAATATGAGAGACAAGCAACCCTCATCACCCTTGCATTGTAATCATCCAAAGTAATAAAGCTCCTCATTTTTTTACTCCCACCGTCCCATTTTACCCATCTTATTTTCCTTTTTATTTTGTCCCAAAATGTTGTCCTCTTTCCAAAATTGAACATCACCATCATTCTACTTTTTCCAATTTACACTTATGAGTATTGCTTTCTTTATTGCTTTTATTTTCAAACGCGAGAAAAGTGAGAGGCATAATTAGAATACATAGCATTTACTTTAATTTCTTAAAAAGCATGTAAAAAGCAAATGTTACAATCAATTCGGGACGAAGTGAGTACTATTTAATTAGAATATATATATATATATATATATATATATATATATATATATATATATATATATATATATATATATATATATATATATATATATATATATATATATATATATGACCTAGCGGTTTAATCTAGGTCATTCATCTCGCTTAAATCAACGTCCAGGATTACCAAAATTAAAAAAAAAAACGTGGTGGCAATTTTGTAATTTTTGCATCTAAATCAAAATTATGGTGAGCAGTTCTGTGATTAATGTGCATGAGTTTTGTGTATAAGATGCGTGAGTCTTGTGCGTAAGGTGCGTGAGTTTTGTGCTTAATGTGTGTGGGGTTGTGCTAAATGTCAGTAGTTATAAAAACTTAAACTGTGGGCTTTTGTGCTTAAAGTGCGTGAGATTTGTTCTTAATGTGAGTGAAGTTTGTGCTTAATGTGCGTAGGGTCGTTTGTGCTTAATGTGTGTGAGGTCAGTGATTAATGTCAGTAGTTGTTGAAACTTAAGGTCTGTGAGTTAATACTTAAAGTGCGTCGGTTTTGTGCATAATCTGCGTGAGGTTGTACTTAATGTGCGTGAATTTGTGCTTAATGTCAGTAGTTGTTGAAAATTAAGGTCTGTGAGTTAATACTTAAAGTGCGTGGGTTTTGTGCTTAATGTGCGTGAGGTTATGCTTAATGTGTAACACCCCCTAAAACCAAGCTATTTAAAGCCTTAAAACATGCAGATAACTTAAACCAAAACACCAAACACAGCGGAAGACTGAAAGATAAGATATATATAAAACGAGGAAACAGGGTGCTATGCCACGCTCACCCAAGGGTGAATGCATAGGCTAAATCTGCATTGTTTAAAATCTACAACCATATAACAGAGTACTACGTCTATATTGGCTCACAGGCCACAAAACAGGGAAAACTATGCTAGTTGGCACTAGACCGCGCACTCATCTAAGCATCACCTGAAAGAAGCATATAAAACATGGGACGACGTCCGGTCAGCGAATAATGCTGGTAACCCACCAATACATGTGAAATATCATACATAGGTAAGATATAAGTTTGTAAAACCATTTTCGAAACGGAATATATATATATATATATATATATATATATAAAAGTCCAAAAACCAAGAGTAATAGTCAACACAAGACTCAACACTCTCAACAAGAATACGGGAACACTTCCCAAGACTACAAAGAACAACAACGACGCACAAGAAGTCTCAAGGTATAATCTATCATCACACAATAGATTAATACCCGACATGCAAGACTCAAAGGATAAAGACACAACAAACGGCAACACATGCCTTTGTGACTACACACGTCACAAGAAGAGAACTCACAACAACGTCTACACAAGCCCTCGTGACATCACCCATCACGAGTTGATATGCCTTCCTTATGTCCGGTTCCAACCTTATGGCTACCCCCAACCTTATGTCTAGTTCCAACCTTTACCTCCAGGACCCCTGTACACCAAGTCCAACCTTTTCCCTCCGAGGACCGTCGTCCCCTCTCCAACAGATCTCCAATAGAACTACCGATTTCATAGTACACGAGGGTACCGATCACACACACGGCAACACATGCCACCCAAGAAATACGTGAACCTTACACAAATGTCTCAACTCCATAATCACGTCAGGGCTACCACGAGGACCACTGCAATACCTTGGTTGTAACACCCCCCAAACAAGACCTATATAAAAGCCTTAACACATGCAGATTAAATGACAAAACTAGCACAACGGAAGATAAAACGAAACTGGATAAAAGAAATCCAACGGGGTGTCACGCCACGTCTACCAAACACGGTAAACGCTACGGCAAACAATCTGCAAGTGTATACATCTATCCCAAAACATCAGTCTAACTACATTGGCGCACAGACCACAAAAGCAAGGATAAAGGTGCTAAGCTACCAGGCTCTAGACATCGCGCTCGTCTAAACATCACCTGAAAGATACAAAGATAAACATTGGGACGACGCCCGGTCAGCGAATGATGCTGGTAACCCACCAATACCGTTAAGTATCATATATAGATAGATATACGCCATAAAAACCATTTTCGAAACGGAATACATATATATAAGTCAAAACCAAGATCAACAGTCAACGCAAGACTCATCACTCACAAGGATAACACGGGAACACATCCCAAACCACAAAGGTTAACCACACGCAAGGATAAAGACTCACCCAACGGCAACACACGCCAAAACAACACAAGCCTTCGTGACTACACACGTCACGAGTGAAGATCACACAACGCCGGCTTTACAAGCCCTCGCAACATCACCCATTATGAGTTGGTATGCCTTCCTTATGCTCTGTTCCAACCTTATGGCTACCCCCAACCTTGTACCTTCTTTCCAACCATTACCTCCAGGACCCCTGTACTTCTTAGTCCAACCTTATTTCCCCGGGACCGTCGTCCCCCACCAACGACCACCAACGAAAACCACCAATTCACGGCAACACATGCCCGGATAACACATGTTATTCCCCAAAAACATGGACCCATCACTCAGGCCACAACTCCATAATCACGTCACGGCCACCACGAGGACCGCTGCAATACCTTGGTGACTAGTGTCCCATACCACAAATCGTGCAATCTAGGTAAAGCCACACACGCACCACAACTCAACAAGAATCAAACAACGGATCACAACGAAGGTACGAAACCATACTCAATCAAGGAACGGGTCACAGCCCAACAACAACAACAACGATGAATAACACAAGTTATCATAAACCAAACGGAAGGTACAAACCACACACATGCTAGCATTTAGACAACAAACTAGCATGCTTATCAACGGGGAAACTAAAGATAGTTCCGAGGAACACACAAGACACCTCTTGGTCCAACGAAACACAATGTTGAACACTTAGCACGATTCAAGACACCAAAGTCCTACATGGATACCTACCATATAGTTCTAGACGTACGAAACATCAAGAAGACACTCAAATAGTTCCACAAAAGAACAACGGGAAGCCAAAAGACAAAATACCGAGTCAAACAAATCACGGGGAACAAATCCCGGTCCACTCCACTCGTGTACCAGCGGGTGGACCCACGGGTAGTGCCCCACCCGTGGTTCCGCCCTCAGGAACACATTCCCATAGGCCTATGTACCCGCGGGTAGGCCGGCGGGTGGTGCCCCGCCCGCCGTTCCGCCCGCGGGAACATCCCTGTTCCACAACAAATCCCTTCGGGGATTTTCTTCTCCAAACACAAATTCAAGTCCAAAACATGCCAAATCTCACCCAATACGACAAAATGACTTGAATCATGGAAAATGCCAAGCAATGGCACAAAGGAACCCTAAACACAAGCTCTAGATATGCAATATCACAAGACAAATGCATAAACCCTCACATTTCATAGCAAAACACATGTAGAATCCAAGAAGTCACATATAGGTAAGCAA